TATATATATATATATATATATATATATATTATATTATATATATATATATTATATATATTATCAATAAGTCATAAAAGATCTTATAAAAGGATGTGAGAAGACAATAATAAACATTTTAAAAAATCAAACTCTTGCACTCACAATTATGATTCACAAGACTAATCAATTAACTTGTCAAATATTTGTATAAATTATTAGTATATATTTGTTACATGTTTGACTAATTTAGAATTATAGTTGTAGTTATAAATAATAATTATTTTGATTTGAAATTTATTAAGTGTACCAAAAGTACTATTATCAACAAATAAGTATTTTATATTATATATTAAAATGTTTCATATTTAATGAAATAGTACATTTTTAATTCTTAATATATTAAATATTTTACTTTTCTTTAATTATTTTCTATACTTGATTTCAAAAATTCATTAATTCAAATGAAAAAATTGTTATTATATACTAATCAAAACCAAAATATGAACAATGAATCAATATTATAATACATTACCAAGGAACTAACTTCCAAAAAATATATTTAATCATTATTTGTGTATTAAAAAATATTAATAAAAGAGCCTTACATAATGTTTGGTTGGAGAAGAATCAAAAGGAGGTAAAGAACTTTTATATGGAAAAAAAAATATTTGGCTCAATTTTTAGGAAGGAAAGGGAGCAAAATCCCTCCTTGTCTAATTTTAGCCCCCTCCAGTATTGGGGGTATTTTAAGGAGAGAGGAGAAATTTTAAAATATTTATAATAGAATGTCTAAATTATTCTTACTTACTTTTTTAATTCAAAATTATAAGGACACAAAGGTAAATTAGTTTTTAAAACTCCTTTATCCCTTGGAAACCAAACAAGAAACAAGTTATTTTCCTTAAAATCCCTTTTCTCCCTTCCCCTCCTCTCTACCAAACTAAATTTTTAATCCATTTTTTCTCCTTCCCTCCTTTGAACCAAACAGATCCTTATGCCATTTTTCTTTTAAAATTTCTTGTGATAACTTTTCTATTGTAGGTTCACACTTATTTATTTTATTAATTTATTGCATCCTTTAATTTCAATACTCTTACCCTTCTTTTCAGGCTTTACATCAGTTACATTTTAGGTTCTTTGTGCATTTGTCAAACATAATTATTATCTTAAATATCTGAGTTGTATAAAGTTGGTTCTTTTACCAATTTAGAGTCATCATTACATCTTCTTCCCAAACAATTTGTTTTGTCTCTCTTTCATCACTTCTTACCAGTAAGAATGGCTCCCATTTCCACAGAAGAGCTTCATCTATTTCACAAAACTCATCGCGAGGTTTTCTGTTTCTTAATCTTCAAACTACATCGTGACCTAACCCAATCCCTTTTAGTCATGTCCTTGTGGATTTGGCTAGAACATAATGGATACCCTGATATCAACTACAAAGTTATGGACTTACCTTACACTCTTGCAAATGCTCTCGTTACTGAAGCAGTATCATGTTTAGAGTGCATAGAGGCAGAAAATTCTCACATCCCAAATAATGGTGGTTTGCCCATAACAAAAGGGCTAACACAAAAGGATATCTCACTCAAAATGTTCAACAAAAAAAGATATACTATAATAGCTGGTATCAAAAGTGTTTTAAAAAATATTTGTGCTCGAATTTTTGCTGATGTTTTGCAGATAATTTTGAAAAGCAGGATCATCAATAGAGTTCGTGCATCAGGAGGTAACATATTTGACATGCACCTGACTGTCCCTGGATTTCCGCACCCTTTGTTTGGTAAATTTGATATATCAACAAATAATACTATGAACTTGGACTTGTCTGATGAAAAAATATGGATGGGAAATGGACCATGTGATGATGTTACTGATGATGATAAATCCATGTTTCTAACATTTTCTAAAGGTTTTCCTGTGTCAGAACCTGAGGTGAGATATTTGTTTACACGCACATATGGGGATTGTGTGCAGAGTTTATCTATGGGAAGTGCTGTTGTGAATGACCAATCCTTATTTGCAATGATGATTTTGAAATCTGTGAGAACAGTTGATCAAATTTTGAATGGGAAGCGTGTTGCAAAGCTTCATATAAATGGAAAACACATCTGGGTTCGCAAGTATGAGCGTCGTGAGTGA